CCCCCCTGACCATATAGAATTATATAGGCAGCCTTTATTCTCACCCCGGCGAACCTTTTGACTCTTCTCACCCGGTGTGCTTTCACTGTGAGGCCAACCTTTGTAGCGTTCACCGTGAGCCACAGAATTCTACACTGATAATAGAGTATTAAAAGTGTAAAATTCTGTGCCTTGAACAAACGTTACATTAGCCGAGCTTACTAATCTAGATCTAGATTCTAGCGCTCTTGTTGAAAACGTGCAATTTTCCTTAAAGGGAAAAACAAAATGGCGACCGGCGTAGTTCGGCTCGGTTCGAAAAGTGAAATAGCCGTAGCATCTTTGTCGCTTTGTAGACAACCAAATTAATTAACTTTTGTGTTTTAACATCATTTTTTATCTTTGTTTTTGTCTATTTGCTCGTCCACACCGATAGACATTATTTCAGAAAGAGACAGAGAAAGATAGAGCAGTAGATCTTGTGATAACTTTCGGGCGACCCATGTAATTTGGCTCGATTTGAAAAGTTAAAAATAGCCGTAGCATCTTTGTAGACGTATTATAGCTTACTTTTATGCTATACGTCAGTTTTTTCTTTGCTTAAATTGTCAAGTTGATCATCCACACTGATAGACAGTATTCTGAAATTAGGAAGTATTGTTTCACACCGGGTGAGAATAGCCAACGCTTGCAAGTCTCACCCGGGGTGAGAAGTCGATCGTATTTTTATTCTCACCCCGGGTGAGGATAGGAAGTGGTGAGAATGACATGTCTCACTATTCTCACCCCCTCCCTTGTTTTACCGGATTAACACAACAGGGATCAGGGCTGAGGTTACTGGGGCTAATGCTCCACAGGATCGTATTGGTGTCCGAATAGATATAGATCTACATCTACATCTAGATCTAGTCACAGTCTGCAGGGTTGTCAAATTGGAGCCAGTCAAGAAATTTGGCTCTTTTGGATTGCGTCTGGCCTGGAGAATTTCATTTGGCTCTCTGGCTCTTTTTTGGCTCCAAACTCCAAATGTTGAAGAAAAAGGGAATAGAAAAGGCAAGAAAAAAAGAAAAAGAAAGAATATAAGCAAAAAAATAAAAGTGAAGAAAAGAGCTTGGATTGCTTAAAATTATTAACTCTTCCTACTGCGTCTGTGCTGAGATGCGAATCTTATCAGCAACCGATTATATTGGACGTTCTAGGCAGGCTGCCGGGGTCACTCAGTGTGTACTGTTGGTGTACAGCGTGCGCGCGCGCCGGGAAACGTGTGTTTTCGCCATGAGTACAGTGGGAGTGTGTTAATCGATGATGAAAATAACGCGCTATCTTTCATAGCTTTCTATTTATAAAGTGTTACAAACACATGAGTAACCCCCTCTCACAAGCCGATAAGACATTACGTGTAGTTATGCCCATTCAAATAACCTTTCTAGACACTCTTGTTGTTATGATGAATGTCCTTGGGGTTCGAAAGGGGATAACGATAACATCAGGTCAATTTCAGGATGGTTTGCAATCAAATTGTTCTTTGTACCTGCACAATGTTATTGAAAATTATCAAACAAGCTTATTTTTTATCAGGTAGTATCATTTCATACAAAATCCAGCTCATTTGAAAGATTTTATATAGAAAAATGGAAGTCTGACTATCCTTTCGAGCTCCTCATGTCTACGTGGGTCAATTTCTTCTATAATTTTCTTGGACGAACATCTAGAGCTACCAACTTGGCGTGTTTTGAATGAGACGTATGCCTTAGTTACGAACCAACGCAGGCGGTTCTAGAAGAAGGCCACAATGCACACAAACTCAAGCAGACTGACGCACACACACTTGACCTGCGTGAATGGGGATCCGACACGGGACCCGAATTGAACGGGAGATGATGCTTGGTGCGTGTGCGCTGAGCCAGGGGCCAGACTGACGCGGAACCAGAACGCAGGCGAGGTGCCGAAATAGGCTTATCGGGCGACATAAAAACCCGGCCCCCGCAGGAAGAGGGTTAAACTAGTTAACACGATTTAATGCCCTCGTCCATTTGGTCTGAATAATTTACAACCCTTCTACCGTCGTGCAAGAGTATGTTCTCATGCTCGTGTCTCGTTACGTTTGTACACGCTCTCTGTTCCTTGAACCATAATGTCTTGTATGCAGAGAGGCCAGCCATCGTTAAGTATGTAAACAACGAATGGTCCGGCCGGCGGTTGGTCCAACATCCGACTCAGTATCGGTAGTGAGCCTTTTTTATTTTACCGGAGAGGCGAAAAATGTTTTTACATTATGATTATTCGTACCCAACTACATGCGGTAAGCCACCATCGGCCTTCGAGAGGTCGGAGGGAGTCCTCGCCTCATGCCCACACCGTGGTGGTGGCTATTCTCACCAGTGGGGGGTGGGGGTGGGGTGAGAATAGCGAGACATGGGTTATTCTCACCCGGGGTGAGAATAAAAGTGGCTTAGAAAAAAAACATGGGAGGGAGGTTCACGGGGGATGTCCCCCCTGAAATTGGCACTCTCCTGTACAATTGTGGTCCCGTTTGCACTAAATCACACTAGCACAAAATACTACTATGTATCGATACTAATTTAAATAGTCGGTATCAATGTTTTATCAGTAGATCTACAAAAATGAGCAGTAAACTAGACGCACACAACTCTCACTTCAAAACACAATTAAACAAAGCTCAACACCAGAGAACCCAGCACACAACTGCCTTTTTAAAACACACCCAGATACCATAAACAAATTCCAAAACACCGAAAACTCATCAAACCCTTTGACCTCAGAGTCCTTGAGGACCTTAAAAACATACAATTTTCCAAACAAGACCTCCAACAATTTCTTTTCCCCGGCTTCCCTCCGTGGCACTTCACCAAGGCAAAAGTAGACTTACAGCAAACGCAAACACCAAAACATTTAAAGCAGAATATAAAAAAACTTATTGAAAAATACCCGGTGCGGAGCTTATATTTATATCTTCACAGATGGCTCCAAAAAAGACAATGATGTGGGCGCCGCAGTCCTATCTTCAAACAGTACACACCAGAGGAGACTCCATCCCGAAGCCTCCATTTTCTGTGCGGAGGCCACTGCCATTGACATGGTACTGGACTCGGTAGAAAATTCTCCTTACAAATCTTTCCTTATCCTTTCTGACTCTCTGTCTTGCATCGCCTCACTCACAAACTACACACTCCTACACCCTCAAATAGTTAGGCTACAACAAAAAATACACACTTTGACTGAAACAGGGAAAAGTATCGTGTTCGCATGGATACCTAGCCATGTGGGCATCCGAGGAAACGAGCAGGTAGATGACCTGGCGAAGAAATCCTTATCGCTTCTGTTGGGATCAACAACGAACACTCTCCCACAGACTGACTTTAAAAATAAGTCTGTGGGAGAGCCATTGGAAAAAACAAACAAATAACAAACTGCACAACAATAAACCCAAACTGGGAACGCAAAATCCTTCGGGCCTCTCCAGAAAAGACGAGGTCATTTTTACTCTATTACGCATCGGACACACGGCCCTAACACACAAATACCTCCTTCAGGGAGATGAGAAGCCGTTCTGTGTCGGATGCAACACAGATTTTACCATTAGACACATTTTAACCGAATGTCTAGACTTCGGAGAGACCCGAAAGAAATACTTTAAATGCGAAAAATTACAAGATATTTTTCCCGTCGTTGTTCCCAACAGAATTTTAGATTTTATGAAGGCCATTGGCCTTTATGAGAAGTTATAAAATAGATTATTTGAAATTTTAAAGTGTTATATTTAGAAAGTTGTTTTGAATTTAAAACCTATTTACACTTAATTTTTATCGTTTTAAAAATTTTAATTAGTAATATGGACCAAAATCAGGCAGAGCAGTGAGCTATTGAGAAAAAACCAACTTGTTTGAAGCACTCATATGACCTTATGCAGTTGCGAGCGCCGTAAAACCCCGTACTAAACATAAACAGACTTTAATTTAATAATATAATGAATGTCAGGCATTGATTGATATGCATGTGGAGAAAGAGTTCCCTCAAAATTGTGTTTTTATGTCCCACAGAGAAGAAAAACGAATTGATTGACCCGACTGATGGAAATGATTTGCTCAGTCAAAAATTGTCTGCTGTGGACAACATGTTTCAAAAAGGTGAGTAATGTCATTTTTTTCTATCAAGGTCAGAACTGCTTCATTGTCTGCCGTTTTTGTACACTCTGTTAAATAAAGTGGATGGAATTTCCTGATGGGTGGTGAGGAAGTGTTGGACTCTCAACTTTTTGATTTTATTCGCAGGGCACTCATTGTTGTTTAGTTCTTTATTATTTATTAACTTATTAACTCTTTCCGGACGTAGTTTTTTGGGGGGTCCAGACATCATAAGTTGCGGCTCGATTTGGCTATGCAGGTGGTGTACAAAATAACTTCATGGAAGCATAACCATCACTCAAAACGTAGTATATGATATATCAAATTGAATGAGGAATACACCCCTATATATGAAACAAGGATTAATTTTGAACATAAGTGTGCTTTAGAAGGGTTGGAAATGGCGATGGTGATGAGAAAAATAAATTTTGACTAAAAAAATTGCTCAGATGCTACTGGATCGCTAACAATAACAACAACAGCAACGAAAAAAATTACGTTCGCCAAACATGTGAAAGCAAATCAGCATAGCTATCTTATCATATACAGGCCAAGAGCATTATCTATAAATTTCTGAATGTGCAGCTTTTTATTTGAAAGCAATATTCCAATTTTTGTTTAAGTTATGATATTTATACTGAGTCCGGTTACATCGTTTTGTTGACGCAAGACTGCAAGAACTAATTCACTTGTTTTTCCCCAAACCACGCTTTGACAAAGTGAAACTAGATGTTTTCGTTTCCTAAATCCTTTCCGAGTTTTTCAATGGCTAAAAAAAGTAATTATAAATGATGGATTGTGTTAAAACGAAACAATACTGAGCCACCCCATCACAGCCGATATATCTGCGATACGTCCGTAAGGGGTGTGGATATATCGGCGATACGTCCGGAAAGAGTTAACAGCTTTAGAAAATAATTTTTGTTTTTAACAACTGCCCTCTGGAAGTAAAAAATTAATAGCAAAGCAGATAGTGACGTAATACTGGTTGTGATGCTCCCCTTGGCTGGATACTATTTGTTTTGTATTTTCTTTTTCAGTCAAGATGACCAGAGAAGGTGCCCTTGATTCAGCATCTTTGGTCACACTTGCAGATTATGGTAAAATGAAGGCCCAAGCTTTAAAGACGGATTTTATAACCTTTAACCCAGCAGATTTCTGTGAGAAAGTGGTGAGTGTGTTGTCAGAAAAGTGACTGAACTGTTGTGCCCCATGATTCTATTCTGAATAATTTATTCTTTGTCTAATGAACCATTTTGATGCGCTAATCCGTCGAAAGAGGTGACAATACTGTTTGAATTAATGAACAATCTAAACTTGTCAAGCAGTAAGAAAAATTTTCTAATAACTGTTTGATTTTCTTTATATTCATTATAATGTCAATAATTATGTCACTGTGGTTCATAATTTAAAGTGGAACCCATGTGAGGTATTCTGTGACTCATGGTCAAAGCAACATACATACAGATATTTTAAAGCAAGTTGTTTGTGTGATAGAATTAGTTAATGGATCTCTTAGTCCATGCATTATCAGCATTTTGAGAGTGTTAATTTTCCCATTAGAATGCTGAATGGCAAGTATTATTTCCTTAGTTTTGTTTTGGGGGGGAATGATTTTTAAAAATCTAATATAATAATATGCTTAGGCATCACACAGAGGTGCCAATTTTCCTGATGAATGCTGAAATCAAGATTTAAAAAAAAGTGTCCACATTTTGCCCAACTTCAATTGGGGGGGAGGGCTGGTTTATAAACCTATCTCGGTAACTATGGCCTTTTTAGATGAAGCCTTATAGCAAGGAGGTATATATAACAGGAAAACATGTACAATTTAACGTTTATTTGTTTTGTTTAAGTCTACAATTGCCATGGTAAAGCTGCGATATTGAAAATATACAGCTGTTATAAAAGTAAAAAGGATTTTTTATTTACCAACAAATTTGGTACATTGATAGATATACTCAATACAACAAAATTTTATACAGTTGGGATTTTGGATATCTTGAATAGGAAAAAAGTTAGATCCATGTAACTCACTTATGAATGCATCAATGTTATTTTCCACACGTATAAAGTTAGGTTATGGTATGAATAACCAGCCCTGAAAATTTCATTGGAATAAAAAATAAAATAAAAAAGAAGATGAGAAAAAACATCAGAAATTGAAGTTTTGAGAAAAAACGACATTTTGTTACATGAAAGGTAAAATGAAAGTTCTAGGACAGAAAATCTGAAGGATGATGTTTGTAACACAAAGAGTAAGCACTTTTTAGATTTACAAGTGATTGGAGTATTATAATATGTAAAAAGTCCCGATACCATAAATTGACAGAAAATCGTCAATTTAAAACCAGCCCCCCACCCATATCAATAGTCACGAAGTTGTTCGCAACTTAGTTCAAGGCAGACTTTATTTTAAAATAATTTTGATTGGTAGATTTTGAGTCCCTATATGTGCACATGGGTTGTTATAGCAAGTTGGCTCCTCTGATTACAGGTTAAAAATAAAGTAACTCTTCCCTATTACCTCTTATTGATCACCTGCGCAGGTTAATTTCTTCAATATCACCATTATTGTTGAACCTTCATTGAGGGTGTTTTTCATTTTCTGTAGTTTTTAGAACAAGCGAATGGCTGTTTTTCAGTAAAAGTTATCATTAAAGCAGATGATTACCTTACAGCAGGCTCTAAGCAAGGCAGGGTTTACTGTAAGATCATTTGTCTTGTTTTTCAGAAGTTGACTGTGGCAGGTGATGCTGAATCAGCTGTTCGTGGAGACTTGACACCTGCTCAATGGACCAGCTTGGGACAAACTGTTCAGTCTTTCTTCAAGAGAGCACCGGTTCTGCAGTTTATGTAAGAAAGACTGATTTTCGTCAGCTTCAGGATGTAAAAAAAAAATGATAAAACACACACACACTGACAAACAAACACACACGGAGGGCATATATATATTTATGGACACCCCTGGAAAATTTTAAAGTACACTTGGCTTTCACCTTGGTGATTTGCTGTTGATCCCGATTTTTTTCACCAAATTTCGATTCCCCCCCCCCGAGATCCTGATTTTGGGATTTCATAGAGTAGCAGGTCAGACACTGGTCTGGATCTTTTGTGTTGCACAAATAAAGGAGTCGTGGTCTTCTCTTTAAAAAAGATATTTGTTTGCCTATCTCTTGCAAGTGGTTGGTGAATGCCTCTTGTAAATCTTTCTTGTTTTTCTGTCATGTGTCTGTCATATTAGTTTGTTATCTTTTCATAGTTTGCAAGAAAAACTGAACTTTCAGGAGTGAATTTGTGATATGGAACTTTACTTTTCCGATCCAGCGGCCATTGGAGTTCTAGCCCTTCGGCCAGTCGATATGGCAAAGAATTTACAGGTTTTTTTCAGATGTGTTTTGTCACTGTATAGAGTATTTCCAATATCTGGGGAGGCAGGTAGGTATGTACAACGCAGGTGGCTAAGTGCAAGGCAGGTAAAGAAAGTGGTGTGATACTGTTTTTTCCTGGCAGTCCCACAGTTCGTAATCCTATTTAGACAGGAATTCAGCGGGATGTGTTGTGTTCGCAGGTGAAAGATAATGACTTGTTCACTTCTACTTTGGGAATTTAGAGCATCTTTTGAGTTTGGAGCAATCATGTGTGCTAATACAGTTCTTCTAGTTTTGCCCATTGCCCATCCTTTCAGCCATTGTTCCCTGGTGTTGCGTTGATGATGTTCTTGACTGTGTGTTGCGGTACTTGTGTTTGTGATGCTCCCTTTTTGGCAAAGGTGTCTGCTCTGTTATTTCCTTGAATGTTGCTGTGGCCAGGTATCCACTGTAAAGTCAGGTCGACGGCATAGGTCAGCATGAAGGTGTTAATTGTTAGAGTGACAGACTGGCAGGCATGGCTTTTGAAATTCATGTTTTCCAAAGCTTGGAGTACTGATTTTCCGTCTGTGAAGATGACAGTGTCCTTGATTTTGTTTGGATAGTTAATGAAAAAGTTGGTCTGGTGGAGGATTGCTGCTTTAATGGTGATGGCCTCTGCCTCATAATTTGCGCAAGAAGTACCAAAGGCATCAAATAGTTCTTCACACATCTTGTCAGGATTATGTTCTTTTCTTACTCCAAAGCCTGCGTTAATAGACCCCTTGAAGGCTGACCTATCGGCGTAAACATGGATTAAATTACTAGGGTAGAAGTACTAATAATGGAAATGAAGCCAATAAATGAATAACAGAGATCTTTTGTTGCAGGTCTTCTTTGAATGGCCTGAATTTATTGGAATGCACAAACTGTGAAGGACATGGATGGAAGCTACTTGGCTAAGGCCCATCATCTTAACTTGCTGCATGGGAATCTTTCTTCTCCTCCTTTTTAAAAAAAATATAAAGTTAGCAACGATGTTTTTCTTTTTTTTTTTTTTTCAGCTCTTTATGCTAATTATTGTGCATTATTGTTATCATTAAGGGACTTGTATGTCTAGAGATTAAATACTTGCCTGTTGTACCAAAGGGCACCTGGTTAGATGGCTAGTTTTATGCATGCATTGCTTGGGAGGAACTTTTTTTTGTCCAAGTGAGTTTTTTTTCCTCACACCTAATCCAAAGGAGAATTTATGAGAATTACGAAACCGGTAATTGAAAAAGCTGAAAGTGCTTTCGAGAAAGTAGAGATATCTTCTAGAAGGATGGAAATAAAAGCAATAAAACTCAGTGACATCTGTACCAGTGTTCTGTGAATTATAACAAAGATTTCTGCATTTAACTCTTTTGTGCTGCATTTTTTTTTTCTGTTGTCTTGTTTCAGGTGTGGATCTTTTGAACGAGGTGAAGTGATTCCAAGAGTAGCCAGAACGAAAGAGAGGGAAAAGGTCCAAGATAATTCAGTAATCAAGGCTACAAAACCCACCCAGGTGACTTTAAGTACCTTATTATCCTTATAAATAAAGTTTTGGTCCTTCATTTACTGAACAAGTCTCTAGTATTTGGCTTTCCACTGTAGCTGTACGTCACAAGCTATATCTGCCACACAGAAATTGAAGGTTTGGGTGTGAATGGGATCTGTCATGTTTTCCTTTGTAATTTCTGGAGCAACGCCTGTCTGCCTGCCTAGTGTAATTTCAGGGAATCAAATTTTCAGAACGAACTAGTCTCGTAAGGTCATCATAATTGGCTTCTTTCACACTGATATTGGGTATAGACTGCCAAGAAGAGCTCTCTATCTGTCTCTGTTCTGGTGATATCTTCTCCACTTCCAGCCAGCTGTGTCCCATATGCCTGAGATAGCCTCTAGATATCGCTCCCAGGTAGAACTCGGCCTTCCTCTCTTTCTCTTCTGTTGGGGGTTCTATCCACGTTCTTATCTTTGATATCTTATTTGACAGAAGACAAGTCCGCTTGATGACTTCTTGTTGATTTTCACCACCAGGCTTCATATTATCTTGACAAGGGGCCTTCCGGCCTTCTAAGCAGATTAGTGACTGGTTGTGTCCTCCTGACGTTTCTGTAGCGACGGAGATCTATTTTATAGGATGGGGGTGCTAGACCTGCACCCAGTCCCCAACCTGGAGGACTAGGTGTCTGTTTTGGGAGGCACTCCCCCTGTTGTCATTCAGTTGTCTCCTACGACAAGCTAGCCCCACCTCAGTCTTATTCTATTCTTCTCAACATTGGGGACTGCCCGGTAGATCTCACAGGGTTTTTAAGTTGAAAAAAAAGTACATAAATTTTGTTCTTCTTTCTCTTTCATTTTTTTAAGGTACCAGTCACCAGAACAAAAACGATCCTCTTAGGGTTCTCCACATATTCTGATTGTTTTCTACTAATTTTAGTTTAAGCTGGTCTCTGTGCTTTTCAAAGGATGTAATCTTAAAAGGTGGTAGTGTTGAACTGGTCATCATGCAATATTGATGCAGGCTCGTTATTAATCTTGAATTTGTTAAATATGCGGGCTTACCTTCTGTTGAACCTAGCTCTCTGTCTAATAATAATGATCTTATCAGATTTGCTGGCCTTGTGGTAGTCATCAGATTGGTCATAGTCTGTATGTTGTAACTTTTATTTCTTTCTGAACAGAGCTTTAATTCTTAGTCTGCTTTTCTGCAAAGAAGACCTGTCTGTCTTCCAAAAATGATTGAAATTGGTGTTCTTGTATGTCATAAGAACAGACGCAAATGGTCAAGTTGTTTACTTTTGCTGTAGCAATGTCAGTTGAGAATGCCAAAAGCTTTTAGATCAGTGAGCAGTGCGGTGTGTCCCTATGTAAGATGCATAATGTGTTGCTCAAGAAGAATATTGGGTTGCAACAGTTGAGGTTGATTTTTCCGTTTACTCAGTGTGATGTATCCAACCTTAATTTGTATGCAATGTGATGTCTGTATGAATTGACATATTTGTCATTTTAGTCTAAATTTCTCATGCTTGAGAAATTTCGAAAGGTATCTGCAGTCAGGCCAACAACCTTGAAATTGAAATGAAAATTGTATGCTTTTAGTTGTAAGTTTAAAGTTTGATTGCTTCTACATCTTTTTAAGTTCCAGTTGTTGAGTGCAAAGCCTGATGGAATGCATTTTGTCTGTTTGTACTCAGCTTTCTTCTTTAGAAGAAACAGACCGAGGTGAACTCACAACAGCACAAGTGGATCATCTTCTGAACACCCTGTGGAGTATTTATGAAAGTCAAGATCGTAAGTTTACTTATGTTTAATTGTGTGAATTATGGGTATTCTTTAAGAGGGATAGCTCAAAAGTGCTATAAAGTATTTATTATTATATTTTTGGCACGGCTGTTTTTTTGCATGGAAGTAAAGATTTGTATCCAGCTGTTTATTTTTGTTCCCTTTTTCTTCTAAAGATAGGTAGGCAATTCTTATGGAATGTGGTTGTTTCTTTTTGTGGCTTCAGCAAACATTAAAGAAAGCTTCTGTGTATTTTTTTTCAGTCTAAAACCTGTCTATCTTTCCATGTCAATTCTTCTGCTACTGTAGTTACTTTTACAATATTACAAGGAAAAGTTCACATTGTCACAGAAATGGGCCTTATTGAAGAAAGGCATATCTTCAGAAAGTCATGAAAGGTTGAAGGACATCACATAAGAAGTTGTATAGAAAATTATGTTTTTAGGAATGACCGGGGTAACAAGTTGTTTACTGTTTTTTTAGATGTGTTGTTTCCATTGATGTCATGAACACTCAGGATTTTTAAAGATATCATGAATGTTTATTTTTTTAAATGATCTTTTACAAATGTGTCAAAATTTTGGAAAACTTTTTTAAAATTCAAACTATTAGGCCAAGATCTAGATCGGTAAGTTCACTGTTACTGTTAGAAATCCTTGCCGTACAGCTTTCCACTAGCCTCTACTAAATTCTGAACCCTCGATATATCTTGAATTGACATCGCTGCTATATTTTTCAGCCTTAGAAAAATCTAGATCTGACCTCTCCAATTGACATAATAATCGGGTCCATCAGTTTTCAAATGTTGCAAAGTTTGTTCACTATCGTGCCAAAATGCATTTCTGAACATCGGTAAAAAAAATGTTTTAATTTTATTGTTATCCAGGGATGCAACTCAAACAATGCTCAGTTAACAGCAGTTATATGTTACATACCCTTGAAGAACAGCTCATAACACACCGGGTAACAGCAGGGGAAAACCCCCTGAAAACTCTTAACCCGATGGGTTTCAGTTATGGCAGTGCCCTGTCTATCAATTTTACCCAAAAGTCTTCAGGTCTGGCAGCGAGTGAGTTAATAAGGTGGGCTACAACCTGTCAGGAAATGGTGCATACAAGTTACAGCATAGAAATTGCTATGGGCAGGGTTGTGGAAGCGATGCAATTTTTTTATATAGTTGAAACTATGATAAATGACTTTTGACCATCGTCATGGCATGCTGAGGATACGCCTTTGTTTTCTGTGAAGAGTTCGACAGCAATGTATTTCAAACATTTTGTTCTATTTTATGTCCTGGAAGTGTTTTAAAGACATTACCAATGTCCGAAAACAAATCTTTACACCATTTGTTTTGGCAGTGCTGATTATTTACATTTAAAGTTCTTTCCAACAACAGAAGACATTTAGTTTTGACACTGTCATTGTTGTAACATTGCTGATTGTTAGCATTTGAAAAACTGTCTTCAATCAAAAGACATTTATTTTGACACTGTGAAATATAATCTTTCACATAAATGAGGCTGCACATAACAACCAGCTCCATAATTATGCTTTATGTTTCGTCTTTATTTGTGTCAGGGTGTGAAATGGCAGATGATATTGTTATTGGGGAAGGGGGGGGGGGTCTTAGAAATTAATACCTAAGCTGTTTGGTTTGGGGCTAGCAATATGGATGTTTCATCTCATTTTATCTTGGAGTCTCAGAAGGCGCCACCTCTGATGCTTGAGCCGTTGACTGTTTTGTTGGGGTTTTTTAGACTCCGAAAAGGCAAAGATTTGGCAACCCATATGAAATTGAAATGGCATGTTTCATTTTGATTGTGCAGTTAGAGAGTTAAGTTGTTTTTTAACTTGTTTGTGTTTTTCAGATACCCCAATTTGCTTTTTTGAGTTTGTGACGAACCCACATTCTTTTGGTCAGACTGTTGAAAATATTTTCTATGCATCATTTTTAATAAGGGTAAGTGATTTTTTGCATTTATTGATTCTTCTTATCACTGGAGATATAGTTCCCTGATTATGAAAATTCCGTGAATAAAGGGAAGATAGTTTTGCTATTGGTACAGAGTTAATGGTTAATTTTGAGTTATTAAATTTCACCTCAATATTTGTGGAACTGTAGATGTACATCATGTCTAAAGAACTGGCATTAAGATTTCACACTATCTATATTTCTTGGAAGAATGGCTGGGGTCTCTTTCATGCACAGCACATACACTGGGTCTCTGTTTTAAAAGCTGGACGTAGTAGGTCTTAGCAAGTTCTGTCAACAGTGCTGTGCAGTTTTCCCAGCACTGTCACTGTACTCTTAGTTCTGAGATTGAATGACTGCTGGTACTCAGCCCCTGGAAGGATTGTAGAAGACAAGTGGTCTTGATCCTCTGTGTTTGGGGGGGGGGAGGGGGGTTCTTTATTATCTCTATGCAGTATTATAATGGTAAAAGGCAGTGATATATTTTTTTTTGTGTGAGCTGTCTGCGTTCTTACCGAAGAGACTTTGAAAGTACTGGTTGTATTCTCTTAGTAGGAATGCTTATGAAAGCTGCAACAAGGTCTGTTTCTTGATGGTCTGATTTAAGTGATTTGTTAAAATTTTCTGATCTGTTGTTCATTTTTCTTTGTTTATCCCACTCTTTAAGTTGCCCAGCATACATACAGTCGAACCTACCTTAACGGACACCTGTCTTAACGGAATCTCCCCGCTCCCCCCTTGATATATTCCTCTTTAATTATCTGTATAAAACGGAAACCTGTCTAACGCGGAAACGGAAAGAAAAATCCGCTCCCTTCCGAGGGTTTCACCTGTCTAAGACGGAAAATGCTTTGCCCGCTCAACCCTGATTTGAAACAAAACTCGCTAGTTTGATTCCGCCGGCTCTGAACTTAACACCATGGCCATGCCGCTGGGAGAGGAAGGGGAGTAGGGGTGCAATTTGGGGGTAGATGTTACCCCATCATGTGAGCCCAGAGCGATGCAGATTGTCAGTGTAGTGGTGATGTGAAATCTCATGACTGCCCGTGAGAGTGCTCGAGTAGCGAGCCACTACGGAAACTTTCCTTGGTAGCCAGAAGCCAGAGGTGTGAAATTAGATTGACCAATGCCTGCCGCCCTGATCGTTCGACCAGCCAAGAAAAGAGTTCCTCGAATCGTTGTTACTACGATGGCAGTGAGGGGTGGCATTGGTGGGTGGGGCTAAGGGTGGAAGCAAAAAGTTTCAAAAGTTTCTGTTTTTAATAGGTCAAACAGTGGTCCTATGAAAGGCAAGCACTGGTGGTAATTGGATATGTAAGACTGACGCATGTCATTATCAGACAGGATAGCAGCTGAGAGGTGTGAAATTTTGACCAATGCTTGCCGATCGGACAAGAGATCCTTGATCCCACCGGCTGGACCTTTGATTCCCCCCCCCCCAACCTCCGCCTCCCCCCTAAATTCCCCTGTCTAAGATGGAATTTTTTTCTCGCTCCCTTGCGATTCCGTCTTACACAGGTTTGACTGTAGTTTGCTGTCACAAAAGCAGGTGGATGGTTGGCAGGTTTGCTCCTTCTTTCCTATCAAACATCTCTCATCCTTATCTCTCCTCCTTTTTTGTCAATGTTACTCTTTTGTAACATATCTATTCTTCGGCACTTATGTGACTTTATTGTGTTGCAAGTGCAGTAAAACTCTTACGAAAACTAAACAAAAGCAGGGGGCACAGTTCCCCATGCTCGTGGGATGCAACAAATGCTTCGTCACTGAGGTGGCGTACTTTCTCAAATTTACCATGACTTTTGTCCAGTTCTCTTTGTGATGACCTATTGACTGAGGAATTAACTCACTTGAGAGCCCGGTGGCCTAATCACATGTATTTACGGGATGCGCTTTATCGTTCGATATCTCTGTTGTTGTTTTTTTAAGGTTACAAGCAGCGGGAAGTGGCTAGCCAACAGTTTAACCACTTGTTTTTCGTAAATAATTTGGTGAAATTATGTGCAATACTTTTTGAGTTGTAATGGACTATATCAGTCATCCCCGCATTGCAACAGAAAATTTTACTACTAATTGGAAAGAAAAATTGCATAACCCCCAGATATTGCCGTTTCAAAATATTATTAAAAACTGTTTTGGTAAATTAGATGCAGCTTTCTTTTTCAGTGAGAGCATTTCTTTCTTTCTCTTGTTGCATTTTGAAAAATTATGGTAGCTTTAACAGTCTTCTCGTGGTTTGAAAAATTATGACAGCTTTCAGTTTTCTCGTGGTTAACGCTTCAATATATCCCAAAAGTATCGGACTGCAATGGTTGGTGGGCGAAAAATAGCTCAGGCTCAAATGAATTAATTTAATGTAGCGAAAATTGACTCTCGAAAACACGAATGTGGGCCAGGTTTTGAAATGACTTATTTGTGTAGCAGTTGAAACTCGCACATAAATGAAAATTAAACCACAGTAAAATATTTTTGTACTGCTGTTTGCTAACGGCAACAGAATATATAAAAATTTAGTGCAACCATGATGAAAAATGCCTTAAGTTACTTTTCTTTCTCAGGATGGTCTCGCAAAAGTCACGCTTGATGATGACAGCTTACCAGTTATTGGTAAGTCCCTCTTTGTGTAGTGTAATATTGTTTCATTCTTCTCCTTTTTGTTTTGTGTAAAAAAAAAAAGATTTTATTTTATGGGGGTTTTTTTTAAGGTTAGTTTTCCTGTACACACATTATTTCCATTGCTGCACTGAATAGAAGCTGTAACAATACCAGTATTCTCAACGATAGAAAGAGAAGGTGTATTTTTCCAAAAGCTATGGAAGACCGTCACCAGGGTACATAACATATACCTCATACTCATGTCAAGCGCTGGCTGTGGTTTATTTATATAAGTAAATATTTTGTGTGTAAGGAAGAATATCTCATTTCTCTTAAGAGATTTTTTTACAATTACTGTTGTTTGTTACATTAAAAAGTTGTTTGATAGCAATTAAAAAGTGGAACCTAACTTATTACAATGGTGATGGTAAGCTAAATAAGTGTTTATTCCCTTGAATGTAGCCAATGTCAATACCAAAATTAATATGGTAAAAATAAGTGTCTGGGAAACATGGGTTCTGTCAAACATTGGAAGAACCCGTTGTAAGGCAAGGACAGAGTCCAAATTGGGAGAGATGAAACTGCTACAGTCTGCTTTTCACATTGGACATTTCTTTTGCTGTGAGTAGACTCTTGAGATAATGTGTACCAGACTGTTTCTGTAAGAAGAACTATTTTTTAATGTAATTTCTCATGGAAAGTCTACTACGAGCTGATTTTCAGTGGAAATCGGGTTACTCGATTCAACTATCGGTAATAGGTTTGTGAATGTGTTCACTGAAATTTTGTTTATTTTTCAAAAGCCAGATCCATATTAAAATGCCAAGAGCTCTTTAATTTTGACTTGTATTGTTTTTTTTAAAATAGCCATTTGAAAAGTATAGACACAATCCAACATTAGCTCTTTTTATCCGGGCTACGAGTATACTTGCAACAAGGACCAGCTATACGGTCACTTCAAAGAAGCTAGTTCTGCTTGTAATTTCCAAAATACGCGAATATGGCGATGCTAGCGCTGTCTGAATATTTAAATTTTCCAATGAACAATGGTTTCTTTGTTTTTGATGGGTGTAGAAGCTTGAAAGATGTCTCGAAAACGCACGTTCACGATCGACGAAGTGCATTTTGAAGTGGCGCTGGGTTGTGAGGGGGGATGAGACTAATTTGATGAAAGTGACTCTGAATCAAGTGCCGTAAATTCCGTTGTGGATGATAACAAACAGGACTTAGACTCATCTAATAGCGATTCAGATCACGGTGAAAGGGTCAGTACTGGAATTCATGCTGTATCGATGGGTAGGGCTAGATCTATAAAATCCAATGTGACGTTGTGTGTGCGGCAATCAGGGTCAAGTTGGAGGGTGGAGTACACCTCAAAATCTACATGCCGCAATTGCTGTAATTCCTAACCACATACATTTACAAAAACTACATTCAATTTCTAACATAACTGCCGAATTTCCTTAAAACCTAAGAGTAAACATAAGAAATAGAGCACTTTGAAATATACACCCTGAATTCCAACTCATACAGCGCGGCAGCCCCAGAACGGGGACAGAGTCCGCGGGGGTACGGCCAGGATAAAAATAATTAAAAATGCAAGTTGTTTGTGAGAAAGTATTCTTGTCAGCTGTATTGTTTTGATGCTTGCTGTAGAAATAAGCAACAGATTTTCAGGGCTTCTACTCCACACCTTTTCTATGTTACACACATGTACGTGTATTTATTATTATGCAATAATATTTTGTTTTTCCTAGAACCCATTCAGAAGGAAGATATAGAGAATGAGAGAAGTGAAACTGCTGAAAGACACCAAGTAGTATTATCAATTACTCATGAAGAGTGGAAGGTCAGTGATATTGTGATTGATGTTAGAGATTTCTATAAGAATGGGAGTTTTGAATAGGCAACAAATTGTTGTTATCATTCTACAAGCAACAAAATCATGTTTTGAAATTCGTTGAAAAATTAAAGAAAAAGAGAACACCCTTATCAGAATTGAGACTTGGCCACTTTTCAGTGAAAAACTAGGAATAAAATAACCCAGCAAAATGCAATCAAATTGTAAGATGCCACTTGATGTCTTAATTCAAAAATGAGGTTTGTCCCTCCAGAGATTGATTTAGGCAATTGTGGAATGATGCTGACGAAATACTTTACATCATTGCATTGACTGAATAATATTTTGTCATTTTCACTTTTATCCTTGTTCGGTGATGTGATAATACATGTATGTCTGTGTACTTACTTTCCTATAGCCACATCAAGCTGTATGTCAATAAGATCATTGTCATAATACTATTTTTTTTAATGTAAAAAGGACTGATGAAAAGAAAAGATAAAAGAAGATGGTCAAACACATCTTTTTTGTTGATCAATCCAGTGCCTTGAAAGAGAGAAAAATGCTGTTATGTACGGTCATGAGGACTGCTTGAACGTGAAATGTATTATCAACATTGTAAATCTAGACTGAATCGAAATGGATGCACTGGACTCATTGAAGGCTGCATCTAAATTCACACCAAAGAGAGCTTAAGCCTTTTCAAGTAGTTTTGACTTATTTTAGTAATTATCTATATCAACATCCACTTTATCAAAGTCCACTTGATGGCCAGAATCATCTGCACAGTAGGAATCTAAAACCTCAGTCATGACGAGGTGTTTTCCTCTCAAGGGCACCATCATATAGCAGAACCAAATCTATCAATGTAAGAAATAAACCTCAGTCATGACGAGGTGTTTTCCTCTCAAGGGCACCATCATATAGCAGAACCAAATCTATCAATGTAAGAAATAAACCTTAGTCATGACAAGATGTTTTCCTCTCAAGGGCACCATCATATAACAAAACCAAATCTATCAATTTAAGAAATTGTATTTGAAGTAGAAAGCTATTGTGCGCAAAATGATATTTCACGACAACGATGAAAATAATAGACCCATGCACGGAAGCATGCTGAATGCGCTTTACAACTTTTATCAGTAGCTTGTGTTAAAACAATAAAAGAAAGAATTCTGCTCTTGCATACACCAAACTGATTTGTCGGGACTATCCATTAGCTTTCATACAATGTTATCAAATTGTGGTAACGTCTTATATGAGGGCCAATGCCAAGGTCTGTGTTAATGACATTAATGCTGTTGTGCACAATGCAAAAAGGTTAAGACAGCTCAAGTGACAGGCTCGGCTCATTTATGATTTTAAAAGATGCAATGGAAAAATCTCAGCTCAAGTGCATAAGCCATTTTTTATGGGATAAATAGCTTTCCTAGTTCTTACTTTTCTGTTATTCAACTGGTTATACTCTTTACTGCCTCCAATCAGTTTACGGGGGCTCTCGTGGCCTAGAGGTTAAGGTGTTGGCCTCTCATTCAAAAGTCCCGGGTTCGAATCCGGGTAGCAACCGAACAATTTTCTTCTGTAAAATTGTCTCCTTTCACCTCCTTTCCTGCTCTATAGCAATGTTCTGTTGTCTGCTTTCATTTCCACTTTCTGCCCCCTCCTCTGGGCTCCTTCTGCAGCCTTTCTACTGCTACTCCTTGGCTCCTCCTTACTACTGTCTTTCTGCCACACCCCTGATCTTCTGGTCGGAAAGATCTACACCTAGCCTTCTCGGACAAGGGCGAAAAATCTCGGAGGGCCCGTGTGCAAGTTGCGCATGTTAAAGATCCCTTGGTGGTCTAAAATCGATAAGAGTAGGCTTCGGCCGCCACCCGGGCAAAATTCAAAATTTCCTACCAGCTGAAAATATGAGTTGTGTCCTGCGCGCTCATATGACCTTATGCAGTTGCGAGCGCCGTAAAACACTTTACAAAAACATTACACAAAAAACAAATCAGTTTACTGTGTCGCTGATTGAATTACATCATAGGGACCTTGGGTCGTGCTTCAAAGCATAACGAAAGATTGTTCTCTAGAACAACACTACTGAATCAGACAACCTGCAAGTATCGAATCTTTCCTGCCCCAAAGACATGTCCTTGTAAACTTTCAACTTCCAGAATTCAGCTATCCACATCTACACTTTGAAGCCAATAAGACAGGTTGGTGCAGCATCATCCTAGAATTTCTAGACGAACTGGCTGTACTTTTAGTTTTTTAAGCAGGATGTTGAGTTACTTCCCTAACATATGATCTCAATGGGAAATTGTCTCCTTTCATCTTCTCACTAACAATGTTCTGTCATCTGCTTACGTCTTCACTTTCTGCCCCCACCCTCTCACCTGCCTTGCCCCTTCCTCTGGGCTCCTGACTCTTTCTGCAGCCTTTCTATTGCTACTCCTTGGCTCCTTCTTACTGCTGTCTTTCAACCACGCCCCTGATCTTATGATATTAAAGATCTACTTTCAGCTTTCTCGGACAAGGGCGAAAAATCTTGGAGATCCCATGTGCAAGTTGCGCACATTTAAGATCCCTTGGTAGTCGAAAGTCGATAAAGAGTAGGCTTCTGCTGCCACACTAGGCAAAATTCAAAATTTAATACCAACTGAAAATGGTTAATGTATCTCGCGTGCTTATATGACCTTATGCGGTTGCGGAAAAAACACCTACCCAAAACATTTTAAGTCTTTTTTTAAATTGTGGGACAATTTACCTGTTAGAGCTGAAAAGAACTTTTGTCAGACTTGATTTAGCTAAAAAGAATAATGAAGAATATTCAGCAGCTGGGGATTACTACTATATTAGCTCTGTGCTGGGAATATTTATGTCCCTTTAAAAGTAGGTTGCAAGTCGATGTCTTTGCACCCAATGTGCACCCCCTGGGGCGATGCTACTGACTGAAGTGTCTTTAGGCCATTCCCAAAGGGGGGACATTAACCATGTTATTATGCACAGTAGAATTGTAATTATTGTAAATAGGCTGATTCATCAATGTCATGCTCATAACTGTGCCTGAACTGCAACAGGGAACTGTGGATTTTTCTTTCCTAATCCTTACTACAGTGGAATCCACTTATAACGAGTCCTGAACACAGCGTCACTTTTCGCCCGATTCTGTTACTTTTAGTTCGTGTTACTCAGCAGCCCGCCGGAGCTCCCCGGCTCGGGGTCACGGGGTTAATGAGCCCTGAGGCGACTTTGCCGGTGTCGGTCGGGAAGTTAGCATTTTTGACTATGTTTAAAACGATATAACTTCTTCCCCATCCCACACAGCAAACCATTACGCGGATGTACTAAAAGCTCAATGTCTTGAGATTTATTCTGCGTTAGAATGGTTAGTTTCTGTGCCTTAGTTTTTGTTCTAGACAAGTGTTTGTAGAGTACCCAATTTGTCCTATTTTAGTTACAAAGTTATGAATAAATGATTGTTATTTTTAAAAAGGCACGACAGATCTCTCCAAATTCTGTGTTAAACTGACTACGAATATCATGTCTTTTACCATGAGAAATCTTAAATCTGCGGTAGTAGTAATAGTCAAGTTATAAGAGAAGAAAGATGCACATCTGCATATTTTAACTAAAGACGATCAGCGTTAGCTCTTATTTTACTATTAAACAAGAGAAAGTTACTCTGCGTTTGTTCATGAATCATGCTGTGTCTGTGGCAGCCTGCATACAACTAAAAAGATATAATATAAGCGATTTAAAAAACCACAAAACCGTGTAAATACATGGGTAGAGATCAACTTCTAGTATGGAATAAAAATAATGACAGCTAAAACATTCATTCTTAGTTTTTGTGTAGGAAATATGCGCGGACACAATTATGAATGTAAAGAAATCAGTCACATTGTCAGTTATTGCAAATGGTCATAGAAACGTAAAAAAAGCTGGAAAAGTCTGGTGCTGATTCAGTGTCCCTGGAAAGCTAGAAATTATTCTTATAACCCAATTACGAGAAGTCATCCCTATTATTCGGTCAACTTACAAAACCTAGACTTAGCGTTTTAAGAAAAGTAAGCAATTTCTGGAGTGTAACAGATACTGTTCATGTATTAGATCTACGTTGAAGATATATTCTAGCACTAAAATCTATTTGTACTTTTCAGTGAGAAACTTCATGATAACTTTTATAAACTTTCGAGAAAATATGCGAATATTCATGATTATATTAGACACATAAAGTTGTATTTGGAGGAATTACTTCGTAGCGAATTGTGTGCCCGATGGATAACATTGCAAAATTACAGCCTTCTAATTTATTATAAGCGCAGATACCATCTTTTCTGAGTATCTGCACTAATGTTATGTCGTTCATATTCCAAAAGTTTGACAGATTTTGACGATGCGTTTTTTTTATATTGATTTTTTTTCATTCACGCTAGTCCCCAAAAAAATACAATTTAGCATTGCCGACTCCAGTGCGTCTAACGAAATAACCAGACAAGTTACAACGTCCGTTCTTTTTTGAGTCTCAAGAGCAGAAATGCGTGCTTTGGGTGCACTAAATGAGAATTACCATAAATACAAGGATACACCTTAAATTGTACGTTGAAAAGTACCAAAAATTAAGTCGGCCCAGACAGAGCGGCGACAGGGAGCTGACCCCCGTGACCCCGACATGATAAGGCGCCCGGCGGGGAACCCCCCGCGGCAACTAAAATTCCACTGCCAGTGCGCCGTGTGAAACAACGAGAAGTCTGTTATTAAGACACTATTCTAAAACCCCGTTTTTTCCCCTTCTTTATCTTTGTAAATAAAATACTGCTATAGCGCAATCGGACAAACACGGGAGTCGGTTATACCGTAATATAGCTGCTGCTGTGCACAGCGCATAGGCTATTAATTAATGTAAAACCTCGCCAGTTGAGAAACTTGTTGGTGATCTAGCGAAACAAAGAATGGGAGAGCCCACGAGTGCCAACAATGAAGGCCTGATTGAATGAGTGGGGAGAGTGTGGCATGCACAGACAAGCAGAACGCATCGTGTGATTGGCCAGCCTAGTCTAGATTATCTAGGTCTACCACGCCTCTCACTTCACCGATGCAGGGATGGAGAGGTCATAGTGCTGTACTGTGATGGACGGAGTGAATGTGTGACGTGGGCGGGGTGTGGTATGTTCCCATTGTGCGCAAGCAGATGGAACGCACCACAGGGTGTGGTGGGGTGGGGGACAACACAGCGGGCGAGTTAGCCTAGAGAACTTTCTTTCTGATCGCCAACGCCGAGCTGTCAATATCGCTAGCGTTATAGAAAGAAACCTGATTCGACTTTTGATCAAGTAAGGTCATGTAGAACCTAATCATCCTCAGGGGAGATTACAACAAAAAAATGAACCGAAAACCAGACTCATAGATTAGACCTACTTTACTATTTTCCTTGAATTTATTACTGGGTCCCTTATAACGAGAATCTTGCTATAACGGACATTTGACACCGGTCCCCTCCCTCTCGTTATAACAGGATTCCACTGTATTTTCATTTCTCCTCTACTTGTTTTGTATGTATGTCGCACTGTTGTGACCCGCTATTTTCGGGGTGCCTTGATAGTCGAAGCAGACTTTGTGCTATTGAAGCTAGAGAGGTGAGCAGAGTAAGCCTGATTCCCTGCAAGGACTTCTCTATTTGAAATCCATCCCTTGTCGCTCATATGACCTTATGCAGTTGCGAGCGCCGTAAAACCTCTACTAAAACGCATAGAGCATTGCATAAGTGGATATGCGTTATATAAATGGAATCCATTATTATTTTATTATTTAAAACAAACAGCACCTAATGTGTGACTTTATTTGCTTGACAAGGAGAGGATACAGAGCATATAATTCTTTTTGTTTTTATTTCTATATAATTGTCTACATTGTTTTGCTTTTCAGGAGATTGTGGAAACGTTTAAGATTGAAGAGCCTCTTATAAAGCCTTGTGATATCCTGAAAGACCGTCAGCAGCTGGCCAACATTCCTGAACAGCGAACTGTGACATCTGCAAAAAGCAAAGGGAAAGGCAAGGGGAAGAAAAGTGTTCTCATACCTTGACATTGGAAGGTGCTCTGTGTAGTAGTGTGGCAGCATTTGTACATATGTGCGTCTGTTGAAGTGAATGCTTTGGCTCTTTTTTTTTTGTGTACAGGTGTGCATCTGTTGAAATGAATGCTTTAGCTTGTATTTTTATAGGGTGTGTGTGTTTGCGTACACATTTGTCATTGATGGGAGTAAACTGAATTATAGCTGTATAAAACTTATTTCTTGTCTGACAGTGGTCTCAACGAAAGAACCGAGCCCACCAAGGAGCCTGCTCATAATTTTTTCTGTTTTATTTATATTCTAAATCTTTTGAACCTTAGACCGTAAAATCTCCGGGGGAAAATTCCTGAAATCTAAGGGGGTTTTGAAGGGACTACAAAGTAGGTGTAGGTCTATATACATCAAGAAGAGAGAATGACTAAGGGGTGGCCAAAACAGTGAGGCGACAACGAACCTGGTATAGGGCTCTTTCCTGGCAAGCAACTCGATGACGCCAAAATTCTTTTAGAAAATAATATTCCGTTCTCAAAAAAGATATGTGTCACGACGTTGTGGAATCAGGTACTGGTCAGTTTTTGGGCATGTGTGGTTATTGGTATCACCTTAAGACTTGTTCATTTTTATTGCTTTTGTGAAAAAATACCCACATATCTTTAATATGGGGTTAGTAAGCTGAGACCACTTTTTTTCTGTTTGTAAATTTTTTTTTTGTTATGAAAGGTTCTTTCTGCTGGCCTGTCATTTTTCCTCGAGTTATTTTAACAAGCACAGGGATTTTTACGTAAATCAAATAATTATGATTACCAAGCATTTTCTTCACTTCGACTTCCTTTTTTTTTCGTGTACACTCTCACATAGAGTAATATGGACACTAATTACTTATTTTGTTGTCTTTCATGGCTTTTTTATGTCCAGTACATGACTGAAAATGTGAAAATACCGTATATCCTTATATCCTCTGCTCAGGGTAAGATTGCTTCATTCATCACAGTCATCACTTTTCAAAATGGCGTCACGCCTCGAGCGGTGCTACTGACTGAAATGTCTTTAGGCCATTCCCAAAAGGGGGACATTAAGGGGAATGTGTAGGCTGAGAGGCAATTTCAGTTACTGAAGCCTTTTTACCTTTTTTTCCTATTGCACTACTGATTTGGGTCAAAAGGTGATGTATTAATGATCTATTAAAACCCAAAATTCATTTTTAACACTTTGCTGGCCGTTTTTAGGGGGCCTCGAGGTAATTTTTTCAATAATCAAAAGAACACCAGAAGTCAGTCAGTTTTTGTCCTAGAGAGTTGATTTTTTGCATGGAATAACATATCAAAGTTATAAACCACTTTACTAAAGCTTTTTCTGATACTCAGTACGGGTTGCAAATGGTCTTGGATAACCGTATCCCCCGAAATCGGAATCGGAGAATATCCAAGGATACCTAAAATGTATACACCAAATTCCATCCACACTAAAAACTCAACATGTTTAAGCCAAAACCTCTTGTAAAGTGGTGGGACATCATGTAAGGAATATGACATAAAAAGATGAGCCCTCTATCTTTGTGACTTACCGAGATTTGGTGGTCCTAGTGAATCATGTTGCGGTAAAATGAGAGTTTTGAGAAAAACGACAAGAACGATCATCATTAAAGATTACAAGAATAGTTGAGTAAATTCAACAACCCAAGCCTATTTTTCTATTTCTACAACCAGTTCACTTTCATTATGCAGAGGTTTCATACAACAAAATACTGTGGTTTACAGCTGTCTTTGTCAAAATAAATAACTCTATGCACAGACAACTATGAAAAAATACAGAACTACCCAAATGAAGTGGGGGGGTCCCACACGACAGGGTTGGGAGTGGGGGGGGGTCCCACACGACAAGGTTTCTCGAACGTCCCCTTCCCCAGTCTCATAAAATTGCCCAAACAGTTCCTTGAGCCTTTCCTGGGCTTTTTGTGTCACTTCAGCCTTCTCTATCCTGCGCTTCTTTGCCTGCAATGTGTTTGCAGCTTCAGCCTTGTGTTCGAACGTGATCTCGCTTTTGTCCAGTGATTTGAGTCTGTGGACCAATCGGCAGCTGTAGAGCTTGCAGATAGTCTTTGGTGGAAGCAGATCCAAAATTAAATTCCCCAAGTCTAACTGCAACAGCAATTTCCACCCGCTTTTTTGTCGCAAATAAGTGTTTTGGGCAACTGAGTGGACATATTCATTTGTGTTTTGAGTTGCCTGCAGCAGGCATTTTTGCAACTGCTTTACATCAGACATATTGTCCTATATTATATGAAGTATATGATCAAACACAAGTCTACACAGTGGTGTGCCAACTTCAGTCTCGTGTGGGGGGGATGCCATTAGCGAGAGCTCTTTGAAAAAAACACCACGAATCCTCACCAGCAGGGCAGAAGTCATGCTGGGGTTTTTCATTGGTAGAGCTGCAATGGTACAAAGTGGCCTTGATTGCCCTCTGCATGTCTGGCACAGTACTGAATACTTTTGAAGTTTTGTTATAACTTCAGGGTGTAATTTGCCAAAGCCTTTGCCACCTAAAGTTATTTTCGGTTTTTGTTTCAATTTGTCTCTTGTCTCTGACAAGATTACGAAGTTGTTTACCCAACTTTTTTCCCGACGTGGTTGACACATTCATTCCTCTATGTCATCAACCCGTTGTATGGGTCAAGCCTTATGAATCTCAGAAATTTTCTTGCTGTCCCCATCACAGATCATTGAGATGAAGCGCAAACCATGTTTTCTCACACTTCTACTGAACATGAGCACAGCTGCCTCTTTTCCAATCCCACCACTAGTTCCCTCATAGTTCTTCTTACACACTCCTTTATGTCCTTCATACCTCCTCTCATACTTTTCAAATTCTTCTGTTACTGTGTCGACAGCTTTCGCCAACATTTCATCTGAATACTTTTCACATTTTGAATGAATTGTCTTGACATGGTCCTTGAAAGTTTTCACATGTAGGCCTGAAATGTTCAAAGGTTCCAAAAAGTTGCGCAGTCCTGCAAACCCCGTTCCAGTGGCTGAGGCTACAACGTTGCGATTGACTTCAAATGCACGGCTGCTTTCCTTAGTCCTTTTTTATGTCATTGTAGATAAGTCTTCTTTACAATGCATGCAATAGGGTGTAAGTTGAATGGCTAATCCACTTGATTGTGCACTGCCACTTTTAAGAGTAATCTGTGCTTGAAAGCAATGTGGGCACAAAACATTTTCAAATAAGGTTTGTAAAATGTCCAACTGTGCAATTGTGGATGGAAGATGACCAGTGTCGGGAGACACTTCTGTTTGTGGGTTGTATGCTAGTTTTCGCTTTGACGTTGACAAGACTGAAGATTGTTGGTCATCAAGAAGAGATAACGGTGTGGTCGTCGACTGATCTAGGTCTGAAGATGGCCTGGAAGTGACAGGGGACGGTGATGCAGGTAAAGGTACATTCTTAACAGCACGAGCAGCAGCTAATTGGGCTTTTCTGGATTTTGATCTCTGACCAACGATGCTCGTCTTTCTTGAGTCTTGTTTAGAAGCAGGCATTATGACTTCTGGGGAAGTCAGAGCATAGAAAAAAATATCTGAGAATAGCTAACATCTCATGTTTGGTTTAGAGATCGTCCTGACAGACAGAGACAAAAAAAAAAATTATCTTCTGTCATCTTTCCATAAAATACTTCCCCAAAAAAAGAAATAAGGAAAAAAAAGATCCTTTTGAGCCTTTTAAATATTTTAATTAATTATGCATCTTTATCTTTAGTAGGCTACATCTAGATCTAGATGATTTGTTGGATGAGCCTGGAAGTTAAAAAAAAATCAAAAGGACTACAAAGCTTAGAAACATTTAAATTGAAAAACTGGGCTGAGAGCTGAGCGTGGAAATGTATGACAAAAATTGGACAGAGGGCCTGGAAACAACAAAAATAAAAACTTACGGAGGGGGGAAGGGGTTGACTTCTCTTCGAAAAAAAAAAAGAAATGCAGTCGCAGGCCTAGTTTTGACCATTTACCTTTCTTTGCTTTTACTCCACGGGACAATAAGAATGAATAGGACTAACAACTGGGACTAGGCTAGATCTATGTGCTGGGGATGTGGCATCCGTGTGTGATCTAAATATTATGTGTCGGAGATCAGCCAAAGTAACGCATTGAAGACATAGTCAACGACAAGGAACACATGGGGGGGGGGGGGAGAAACAGATTGAACGAAAGAACAAGGGAATTGAATCCAGTACATCCGATTGAAAAAGAAACAGACATAATACTCGGTTAGAACATGGTGTCACTGGCCTTTGCAGAGTAAGAACAAGGAAGTTAAAATCCATAAACAGTATTCAACAACAAAAACTTTCCTTTAGTTGACAGCGTATTGATTTGATTTACTGGAACAAATGTAACTCAGTAAACGACGCCATGTTTGTTTACACCGCAATGCATCCCAGGGATAGGGAAATTCCCTGTGCTACGTTGAGAGCCAGTGAAAAAACGTTCTAGCTCTGTCCTCGGCTCATTGTCCAATCAGCGTGAAGGATAGGCTGATTCGGTGCCTTTCTTTCTTCGCCAACGGGGGTTAACCGTATTTTAATTGAGTGCCGAAAGTAGCATAATCCAACTGCAGAGGTCCTTCTCGTTTCATTGATCCCAAACATGCACTGCTTCGTACAGTGGTGCGTTCGCAGAAAGGTCAGGTCGGTTAGTAGGGATGGTTTTTGGATTTTTGTCATCAAGGGCTGCAAAGTTGCTGCAACCTCCACCCTTTGTCAACCTATTTTAGAGTATTTATCTTTCGTTTTGAATGATAAGACCACCAGAAACGTATTCCTCTGTAATTTTCCGATCAAAAAGTGCTGTAAAACCAGAATCCCCATTTTACACCCATTTTACTCGCAACATACTCTGTACTGAGCCGTAGGTTGCCCTAACCATGTTCTTACGCTCAGTAGAATTGTAATGGGCTGATTCATCAATGTCATGCTCATAACTGCCTGAACTGCAGCAGGGAACTGCTGCTTTTTATTTCATAATCCTTGCTATCGTCATTTATCCTCTACTTCTTTTTTATGTTTGTCACACTCTTGTGACCCGCTATTTCCGGGGTGCCTGAATAGTCGAAGCAGACTTTGTGCTGTTGAAGCTAGAGAGGTGAGCACAGTTATCCTGATTCCCTGTAAGAACTTCTCTGTTGACATTCACCCCTTGGCGCTCATATGACCGTATGCAGTTGCGAGCGCCGTAAGACCTACTAAAACAAACAAAATGGCGTATGATGGAGTCTTACCCTAAGCAGTCGATATTATAAATCATGTTAATGCTTTTTGTGCATTTATTGTCACAGGTGAAGTTTATCACTGAAATTAGACTAGACTTGTACTGTAGCATGTAGGCCTACAAATGTAAGTTCGTACAACATGCTGTGTTCGTGGCTACCGGTGAAGAGAGTTTCTGCACCGAAAATGCCTCCAAAGGGTGGTGTAATGTTTCCTGGAGTTGAGGTCAAGCAAGACTACAGTGTGTCTGAATCCTAGTTCAAAATATGGGCATTCATGTACTTAAAACACATGTGAGTTTTCATGGCTTTCCACAAGAGAGGACTAGAGAAGTGGGACTCTTGTGGACACTTCATCACAATGATGAGTCACATAGAAGTCATAGAGTATCACCCAGCTTTTGGCACAGAAGCTTATAAAAATTTTGCTTTCTGGGCTTAATACATTTGAACATCATCTTATGCTGTTTATTGATGATCATTATGCCACAACAGGTGGTTATTGTTCTAGACATGTACTCATGTGTGTGTGTGTTGTACTAATAGCAAATATCGAATGTACATGAAGGAAGGTATGTATTGTGTAAATAAGTAGTCTGTATGCTTGTAGTGTGTATAGTTGTATGTGTGGCATCAGGCACTCGTCAAAATAATGGAACCGAAGATACCACCATTGTCCAGGTGGTTTGGCAATTTTTATCTAAATTTTGATTTTTTGTTCAACACCTTTTACGTCCATTTAAAAACTTTATGTGGATTTTATTGAAAATTCTAGCTACAGAAGTCACCAAACTTGGGCAGCCGTTATCTCTCTAATTTTACCTCTTAGACCAGGTGACCCCCACCTCCTTCAGTCGCAAATATCTCGATTTTTATTCTAGGTAGATGGTTATCTTTTTCTTAGGAAGATTGACAAATGAACAAGCTTTATGATTATACAGATAACTCTGCATGCCCAAAAATTGACGAGGGCCTGATTCCACCTCGCCCTAATGTGTATTTATTCTATTATATAATATCAGCTATCAGCAAGCTGTCCAACTGTTCTAAGCCAGAGCAACATTTTTTCTCACTTTTATTTTTGTATTTAGAATTTGAATAAAATTTCAACAAAATATTTCTCAAGCTCAAGTAACCAATACTACTGATTAGGAAGCTGCATTTTTTTTTTTTCAAAATTTTGGGCTCAGTACATCTGAACAGCTGGCTAATAATGAGCTCATTTAAAAAACAAGTATAACATAAAAACAAATGGGTGAATTTGTTGAGCTATTAAAAGGTTTTTTTTACAGTCAGCTTCTGAAAATGTTTTATTGTCACCTTATAGGCCGAAGAACAAGAACGGAAAAGTATTGTCACCTTATTTGGGCAGAGAATATTCTTTTTTCCTTTACAGTAAATTTGTTATGCTTCTTTTTTATATTTTGTTCTATTGTTTTTCTTTTTGCCCCTTGAAGATTTGGGGAGGGGTATTTTGTGTTAAAAATTGCTGCTGGAACTGTAGCTTTTTTTCTTTAATTGAGGAAAATGATGAAAAGTATATGGTGAGGATTTTCCCGATCTTTGTCATCAACCCCCAACCCTGAGCCACCACTACTTAGGTGGCAATATGTACAAAACTTACGAAAGTTGTTGATTTTAAAGCATCTCCAAAAGAGTCCAAAATGGCAGTGTTTTTATGATTACCATGGGTCCAAGTCCAATGTCATAAAGATTTTCAGAGATCCATTTCATTACTTACTGTTATCTCATGTGACCGGTAGATCGCCCCTAAGGTATGAAGTCTTGGGGGAGGGAGTGTTTAAGTTTAATACCTTATCAAGTCCTAGATTATTTAGGAGGTGAGTCTGCTGTAAAGAAATTGTAATTGTTTTCTTTACTTGCAAGCTGATTTTCTAACCTTTCCACAACTGACAACACCAACCTGCTTCTGTGGTGTAGCAGTTAGTGGCTGTCGCTCACAGAAGACTCAAGTGGTGAAAATTTTTTTATCTATTTTTTTTATCTTTTTGCTGGGATGTATCCCTCTCTGCCCCGGTTAGCCCTGACAAGCAGGGTCAGAAGCCTACTTCCTAAATGGTCTAAATTGTGCCAATGGGGGAATGTAAAAAAACCTACATTTAACGCTTTGGAGACCGCCCAAATTAGAGCGTTTTTGCTAGAAAAAACAAAGGGTTTTTTCCAAAAAATGTGAGATTTTTTTCAGCCCTTGCTGTGCTCAATAGTAGGAGAATGATATATCAAGTGTTGTTGGATACCATTTGAAAGGTAATTAAATGAACTATATAAATGTTTAATGGGGTTTGAAATTTAAAAAAAATTGGTATGCAAATTAGGTCATTTGCATTCTAAAAAATAGCATCTGCGAAATATAATTTTAACCCCCCCAAAAAACTGGAATTGTAAATGCATAGGGTCACAAAACTCACCAAAAACTGTTACTGTCATTTCTTACACTTGTGCCTGTTCAGGCAAGTACCATGTAGGCCTTTTCTGCATGACGTGCACATCGTTCGGGATCGTTTTCTGCCTCCAGGTATAGATCTGTCTGAACAGACGCAGCAGTCTTTTTCAGTTTTTCCTGGAAGCTGAGATACTCCAGGCTTCCCAGGATCATCAGGGTTGGCTGGAACTTTTTTTGAGTCTAGGTACTCTTAGGGAGGGCTTCAATCACCTGAACATTGAAATGGTAGCGATCCAAAGGTGGAGCTTTGTATGTTGATACAGAAGATACGAGTTGAGTAGTATTCTACTCAGTATGTTGAATGTTACCTTTTTCCAATATTTTACTGTGCGCCACTCATCAAGGTATGCATAGAGCATCATATCGCACATGTCCATGCCACCCATGAAACGATTATACTCCAGGATAACTTTCGGTTTGTGTTTGGTTTGAATGTCTGCCTCACCACGTTGGCGAACATTAACTTGCGTCGTGATAGCTTTGGCGGCTGAAGATAACATCGAGACGGGCTTCTTCTGGGATTTCTTTTTTCTATAGGCACACACAAGCCCATCATTTTGCCTGAAGAATGAAGACTCGTTGGGGGCTAAATCTCTTTTTACTGTTGTGGGTAATCCTCTGCTAGTCCTTCGAAAGTTCCTGTCAGAAAAGTTCGGCTATCCCGAAGCTCACTGAGAAGTGCGAGGCTTGAGAAGAAGTCATCACAATATATGTGATCGCCCTTTCTTAGTTTAGATAATTGCCCTTTGGTAATAACTTCATAACTACGCAGTGGGCTAGGTCTCGATTGTCACCTTCAGGTGGCTGGTCTTTTTTTCCCCCTATAGACAAAGCACGCCAATACGTATCCTGTTGTGGCTTCGCAGAGCATCCAAAGTTTAATGACCCTCTTATGGTTGTGTTTATTGGGCAAGTATTGTATCAGTTGTGTTCTGTTTTTGGTTCCAATGAGGCTTTCATCAACAGAAAGTTTTTGAGTTGGTATGTAATATTCTCTTGAGACAGTATTGAAATGATCAATGAAAGGCTGAAATCGAACACATGAATCATAGCCGGGTTGATTCGGGCGTGACAAATTTGATCGAGTCATGTGAAAAAAGTTCAAACCTATGCCTAGGAAATAATTTCCTAAACCACTTTGTCTCTTGAGATTCAGACGTATTCCTGTAAGCATACAAGTTGAGCTTTCAGACAAGGCTCATGTTCGAAATGCATGCCAGAAAAGCTGCCATCTCAGATGAGTTCTTGT